AGAGCCATTGTTGATGTTTCTAGTTCAGGATCGTGGAGCCCCAAGTCCCGCAGAGAATCCGGTGTTGTTGTTTCTTGCTAGTCATGGTGCAGAACATGGAAAGCTGTTGGTGTTTCCTAGTTAAATGTCTTGAAGCCAGAGGCCGTCAGGAAACTGGTGTTAGTGTTTATGGTGATTAGTGCTGACTTTTAAGTCATGGAGAAATGATGTTGATATTTCTAGTTGAGGTTTTGGTGACTGAGGCCATGGAGAAGCCATTGTTGTAGTGTTTTCGTTGACTGTTGTTGAACTGTAGATATAGAGTGAGCTCATTGTTTTCTAGTTTGTGCTGTGGAGCTGGGAGCCCTCGGAGGCACAGTTTTATTGTTCCTAATTGGGGATCATGGAGAGCTGGAGACCCTGCGGAGGAGCCTGTCTTAGTGTTATGGTGCAGATTTGGAGCTTGGAGACTCGCGGAGAAACTGCAGTTAGTGTTCCTAGTTGATGTTTGTCAGAGCTGGAGATACAGGGTGGAGCATTTATTTTCTAGTTTGTGAGCTAATGAGCTGAAGACCCGTGGAAGGCTTTGGTTGGTGTTTTTGGTTGAGGGTAGTGGAGTTGGGAACGTGGAAACCACGTATTATGTCATTGTGTGCTCAAACAAAACCCCCTGAAGCAGTATTAAATATTTCTAGTCAAGATAAATTAAACAAACCCTGGCTCAGTTGTTAGTGTTCTCATTGGGTGTAGGTGAGAATGCGGTGTAAACATTGTTTTCTAGTTTGAGTCGCGGGCTGAGAATCCATGAGGCAGTGGTGAGTATTTCTTGTTTAGGGTTGTGGGCACAGAATGCAGTGGAGCATTGTTTTCTAGTTGTGGGTTCTTAAGAACTGGACACCCAATGGAGGAAGTCTGGTCAGTAGTCTGTTTCTTGTGTGAGGGTGTGGAACTGAAGTGCAGGGTGGGCGTTGTTTTCTTGTTTGTGAGTTGCAGGCTGGAGACCAGTGGAGGCTGGAGTTTTGTTTCTAGTTGAGGTCGTGGAGTTGGAAACCCATGAGAGGAGTCAGCGTTGATGTTTCTAGTTTAGTGTAGGTGGGGACCTGCCAAAACTATGATGTTGATATTTCTGGTGTAGGTTGTGGAACTAGGACCTGCAGAGAAACCATTATATTGGTATTTTCGTTGAAGTGTTGTGGGAGCTGGAGATACAGGAGTGAGAGCATTGTTTCTAGTTTGTGGTTTATGGAACCTGGCGACTGCATTGGGAGGGAGCCAGTGTTATAGTGTTTGCAACTGAAAATTCGTAGAGGAGGCCACATTAGATGATATTGATGTTGCATTGGGATTATGGTGCTGGGGCCTTGGAAGAGCATGTTGGTATATCCCAGTTAGTAGACTGTGGGCTGCAGACCGCAGGAAGCTGGTATTGTTTTTCGTTGAGGGTCGTAGTGCTGAGAGCCTGCAAGATCTTTATTTGGTGTTTCTAATTCAAATTTGTGCAGCTGAAGGATGCAGAGCACGCTGGTGTTAGTGTTTCAACGTTGAAGCGCGTGAAGGTGAAACCAGGTGACGTGTTTTTCGTTTGTAGGTAATGAGCAGAGGCCAATGAGCTCCGGTGGTGGTGTTTCTGTTGAGATTATGGAGCTGGGAATGGGGTGAAGCGTTGTTTTCTAATTTGGCAGGTCAGCAGGCCAGAATTATTACGGGAGAGTCATTGTTGGTGTTTCGTTGAGGTTGTGTGGAGCTGAGAATGCAAGTGCAGCATTGTTTTCTAGTTTATGATTTTGGGGCTGAAATTATGGAAGAGCAGAGTTCTTGTTCTAGTTAAGGTTGTACAGAGCTGAGACATGATGATACGTATTGGTGTTTCTCGTTGAGGAGGATTATGAGCTAGAATCTGAGGTGGGCATTATTTCGTTTGTGGGTCAGTGGGCTGGGAGCCGTGGAAGAGCCAATGGTGTATGGCTGTTCCAGGAGTTATGTTTAGAATGCAAGCTGAGCATTATTTCTAATTCGTGGTCTGCAGACTGGGAACCTGTCAGAGAAACTCTTTGTTAGATACTTTTACTGATTAAATGCATTGACTGAAGACCACGGAAAATCAAATCATTTGCTGTTTCTCATTGAGTCCTTCCACAACAAGTCCCCACAGAGAAACTGAGGTGATATTTCTATACTTTGAGTTTGGAGCTACAGATATAGACAGGCATATTCTGGTTGTGAGTCGTGAGTTGGAGACCCATGGGAGAAACTTGTGTTTGGTGTTTCTAGTTTGGGTTATGTGGCTTCAAAATTATGGAAGGCCAGTGCCAATGCCTAATTGGTTTGATCTGGGGCCAGAAAGCGACATTTATTTCAGTTGCTGAGCCCTGAGCTGAGGCCTTTAGAAAACTGAGTAGTATATTCCTGATTAAGTCATTAACCTTGGACACAGGAAGACTGGTTCTTCTGTTGTGTGCAAATCTGATGTTGGCTGAGCTGGAGATCAGGAAAACTGGGGTACTGAGGTTCAAGTCTCAGAAGCAGGCCAGCCATAAGGCTGGGCCTGCCACTGTCTGAGTTTAACAAGCTGGAGACCTGTAGGAGGAGCTGGTGTTGCTTTTGTAGTGAGGTTTGTGGAGCTGAGGCTCCGAGGAGGAGTTGTTCATGTTCTACCTAGTTGGATTGTCGTGTAGTTGTAGCCTGAGGATGAGCTGATGTTGTCACAGTTTGATGTGGCAGCTGGGGCCCACGGATGAACTAAGTGTTTGCTGCTGTTTAAATCTGAGGTGAGTGGAGCACAGAATCCAGAGGAAGCTAGTGCACAGGATTCAAGTCTGCAGAGCTGTGGTGAGCCTCAAGGAAAGTAGTACACAATGTCAGTTTGAAATTAGAGCCTAAGGAGAAGGAAATGATGTTATGGTTTGAGGTTAGTGTGAGCAGATCTCTGTTCAGAGGCCAGTAGTGCTGCTAAGTCACAAGTTGTGAGCTAACCATTTGATGGGCAGAAGTAGAGAGAGAGAGAGAGAGTTACAGTACACACTTTGACTGTGCATAGCTGAATCCCAAGCAAGTTAAGCCTGGAGCTTCTCATTATAAGTGATCATTGTTCCTTTTTCTTTTACATTTGGATTTGTTTCTGTCTCATGAGACGGGAGGCCTCGTCATCCACCCTCAGGGTGAAGCTCTACGCGCTCAGCTGTTGCCTGTCCTGCCTCAAGCTCACCTCTGGTCTCCTATGGCTCCATCAAACCCCCTGCATCTCTCCTCAAAGTGGTCATCCATCCATCTCAGTCATCAAACTCATACAGCTAAAAGTGCTTCTTGGAGAGAGAAGCGATGGATGACAGACATTAATCTGAGGTGCTATTGTGGAAAACTTACAGAACACCATTTTCCTGTAGGGTTTGGTCTGTAATCCCTGATACTCTGTGAGTTCTGTAGCCATGATCGTTGCACAACCTGGCGTCCACAACAGGTTCTAGAGGCCCTGTCCCAGCTGCTCTACCTCCACACTATGATAGTCAGCCTCTGCTCTATCTTGCCAAAGGAGGGCAGGCCTTTGATCCTATAGCGTATCCATGGTGAGTTCTGTGGATGAACCTCATGGATGTTCCTTCCTGATGTTCATGGCCATCTGCCGGCCTGTGCATCTTGGCCCCTGCTATCTTCTAAATGTGAATCGAAATAAAAGCATTGAAATTACAATATCGATGCATCTCAAAAATCTCAACCCACAGTATTCAGAGACCCTCCACAAAGTTAAAGACAAGTCTGAAAACCCATAACCCAGAATATTCTAAATGTCATACAAGTCTGATCCCGCCCTTCTCTCCTACAGAGAATCGCCCCTCTTTAATCTTTATTGTTCCAGTACTTTTCTTGGTATGTTTCACTTTACGCGTATGTACATCCCAAAAATATGCATTTAGTTTTGCATTCTTCTGCTTTTTAGAGGCAGAGTCTTGCTCATGCCTCGGCTATGGTGCAGAACTTTAGTGTGAGAACTCCTGTGTAGCTGCTCCCACTGCACACCATGGCTCTAGCATCCTATCAATATCTCTTTGTCTTATTCCTCCCCTAGAGACCTACCCACTGGTCATGATTTATTTGTGTAAGTCTCATCTCCATTCTCCTAAGCCCCACACTAGCAGCCGTTCCTTTCATTACTCTACGCAATCTCATCTCCCATTCCCTAGAACCCACCCCACACTGGCATGGTCTATTTCATTACTGGGTGCCCATCTCACATTTCTCTGAGACCCACACCCCTGTGTAGATTCAGCTGTTACAAAACAATCTCTATCTCATTACAAGGCCCACCCCACACAATGTAATTAATATATTCTGGTCTCTGCATGCAGTACTGGAGACCACGGAGAGTGTCTTTGAAACTTACATAACAGGTGAATTGTTTGTGGGTTGGGCCCTTAGGACTGTGTTTTTGCTACAGGCGTTCTTGAGCATTTCTTTTTGCCGTGCAAGTTTCTTGAACAGTAACTTTCAGTTTCATTTATTAGGTGAAATGTGTTTTCTCCATATACAACACTGCTGCTGCTCTAAGTAACAAAAATATATTTGCCAAGCAATTTCTTGGCAGGTACTGTGTTCCCTCACCACTCTTATGTTCTCCCAACACTGTGAGATTAGGTTATTGAGTTTCTGTAAATCCCAGGTGGGTGTCCACCTTGTGTCTCCCCTGTTAAATGACCCCCTTCATAAATGTTTTCATTGGCAGTTCTCATCTCCTCTATAGAGCAGTTGCTCTTTGCAGTTTTACATTAGGGTTGTTTAGAATTTTGCTTTTCTTTGCTTATTCCAATTAACCTTATATTTTTGGGGAACAAAGTCTGCTCCTCACCCAGACTGGGTGATGGCGTGATCTCAGCTCACCCAGCCTCCCTCTTCTGGGTTCAAGTGATTTTCCTGCCTCAGCCTCTGAGTAGCTGGCTCATCCATGTGCGCGGAGGAGCCGTTGTTGGTGTTTCTCGTTGAGGGTTGTGGAGCTGAAGATACAGGGTGGAGCGTTGTTTTCTAGTTTGTGGGTGGTCGAGCTGGAGACCTGCAGAGGAGCCGGTGGTGGTGTTTCTCTTTGAGGATTGTGGAGCTGGAGATACAGGGTGGAGCGTTGTTTCCTAGTTTGTGGGTCGTGGAGATGGAGACCCGTGTAGGAGCCGGTGGTGGTGTTTCTCGTTGAGGATTGTGGAGCTAGACATACAGGGTGGAGCGTTGTTTTCTGATTTGTGGGTCGTGGAGCTGGAGACCTTTAGAGGAGCTGGAGTTGGTGTTTCTAGTTGAGGGTCGTGGAGCTGGAGAGCTACGCATTGCTGACCGTGATAGAGCTGTAGATGTGTTTCGGTCAGGTCGTGAGATGGATACATGCGATGGTTTATTGTTGGTGGCTTCTAGCGATTATCGTGGAGCTGGATACCCGGAGGAGCCGTTGTTGGTGTTTCTCGCTGAGGGTTGTGGAGCTGACGATACAGGGCAGATGTTGTTTTCTTAGTTTGTGTGTCTTGAAGGAGACTCACAGAGGAGCCGGTGGTGTGTTTCTGAGGATTGTGGAGCTGGAGATACAGGGTGGAGCGTTATTTTCTCTAGTTTGTGGGTCGTGGGAGATGGAGACCCGCTTAGAGCCGATGGTGCTCTTTCTCGTTGAGGACTGTGTAGCTAGAGATACAGGGTGGAGCGTTGTTTTCTGATTTGTGGGTCAGGAGCTGAGACCTGTGGAGGAGCTAAGTTGGTGTTTCTAGTTGAGGGTCGGGAGCTGAGACCTATGGAGGAGCCGGAGTTGGTGTTTCTAGCTGAGGGTCATCGAGATTTATGGCGGAATGGCCGCCTGTGTTTTTGGAGCTTGAGGGGCTGGGAGTGAGATACAGGGTGGAGCGTTGTTTCTAGTTTGTGGGTCGTGAGCTGGAGACCCGTGAGGAGCCTGGTGTTTCTGGTTGAGGGTTTGGAGTTGGAGACACACGATATTTCACAGCAGTGTTTCCAGCTGAGGATCAGGAGCTGGAGGTCCATGGAGGAGCCACGGGTGGTGTTTCTGTAGAGGGTTGTGGATTGAGACAGGGTGGACATTGCTTCTAGTTTGTGGTCATGGAGCTGGAGACTCAGGAGGAGCTGGAGTTGTTGTTTTTAGTTGAGGGTTATGGAGCTGGAGATATAGGGTCATGCGTTGTTTTCTAGTTTGTGGTTTGCAGAGCTGAGACCCTTTGAGGAGCCGGTTTTGTTGTTTCTAATTGAGGATCGTGGAGGTGGAGACTCCGTGGAAGAGCCCATGTTGGTGTCTGTAGTTGAAGGTTTTGTTGGACGGTCGCGGAGGAACTGCAGTTGGTGTTTCTAGCTGATGTTTGTGGAGCGGAGATACCGGTGGAGCGTTGTTTTCTAGTTTGTGGGTCCTGGAGCTGGAGACCCGTGGATAGAGTCGCTGGAGTTGGTGTTTCTAGTTGAGGGTCATCGAGGTGGAGACGGCAGAGCAGCCGCTGTTGGTGTTTTTCTTGAGGTCGTAATATTGGAGATACAGGGTGGAGTGTTGTTTCAGTTTGTGGTCACTTCTGACCTGGAGAACCGTGGAGGAGCTGTAGATGGTGTTTCGGTTGAAGGTCGTGGGAGAGGATACATGGAGGAGCCATTGTTGGTGTTTCTAGTTGATTATCGTGGAGCTGATAACCGCGGAGGAGCCGTTGTTGGTGTTTGAGGGCTGGGAGCTGACGACAGCGTGGTGTGTTTTTTCTAGTTTGTGGGTGTTCCGAGCTGAGACCCGCAGAAGGAGCCGGTGGTGTGTTTCGCTGAGGATTGTGAGCTGGAGATACAGGGCGGAGCATTGTTTTCTAGTGTGTGGGTGGTGGTGCTGAGACCCGCTGAGGAGCCAGTGTTGGTGTTTCTAGTTGAGGATCGTGGATCTAGAGTCCTGTGGAGGATCCGGTGTTAGTGTTTCTTGCTGGGAGGGTCATGAAAATGAGACCCAAGAGAAGCCGTTCGTGGTTTCTAGTTGAATGTCTTGGAGGAGACCTGCCAGAGTCAGTGTTGTGTTTGTAGTTGAGGGTCGTGGTTGCTGGAGACCTCATGAGGAGCCGTGTTGGTGTTTCTAGTAGAGGTTTGGGGAGTTGGAGACCCGTGGAGGAGCCATTGCTGGTGTTTCTTGGTGACTGTTGTGGAGCTGAGATATAGGGTGATGTGTTGTTTTCTAATTTTGTGAATTGTGGAGCAGTGAAGTCCCGTGAGAGGAGCTGGTTTTGTTGCTTCTAATTGAGGATCATGGAGCTGGAGACCTGCGGAGGAGCCCTTGTTGGTGTTTGTAGCTGAGAGTTTTGGAGCTGGAGACTCGCGAGGAACTGTAGGTTGGTGTTTCCAGTTGATGTTTGTGGAGCTGGAGATACAGGGTGGAGCGTTGTTTTTCTAGTTTGTGGGTCATGTGAGCTGGAGACCAAGGGAGGAGCTGGAGTTGGTGTTTCTAATTGAGGGTAGTGGAGCTGGAGACCCATGGAGGAGCTGGAGTTGGTGTTTCTAGCTGAGGGTTTTGGAGCTGGAGATACAGGGGTGGAGCGTTGTTTTCAGTCGGTCGTGGAGCTGGAGACTCGCAGAGGAGCCGCCGGTGGTGGTGTTTCTCATTGAGGGTGTGGAGCTGAGATACAGGTGAGCATTGTTTTCTGGTTTGTGGGTCGTGAGCTTGTGGAGACCTGTGGAGGAGCTGGAGTTGGTGTTTCTAGCTTATGGTCGTGAGCTGGAGACCAAGTGAAGGGTTTCTGAGTTGATGTTTCTAGTTGAGGTCATTGAGGTGGCGATGGCAGAATGGCTGCCTCCTGGTGTTTTTGTTTGAGGGTCGTGGAGCTGGAGATACAGGGTGGAGCGTTGTTTTCAGTTTGTGGTCGAGGTGCTGGAGACCCGTGGAGGAGCTCTCATATGTTTGGTTGAGGGTTTGGAGTTGGAGACACATGGAGGAGCCATTGTTGGTGTTTCCAGTTGAGTATCGTGGAGCTGAGGCCCGCTGGAGGAGCTGTCGTTGGTGTTTCTCATAGAGGGTTGTGGAGCCGGAGATACAGGGTGGAGCATTGTTTCTAGTTTGTGGGTCATGGAGCTGGAGACTCTGTGGGAGGAGCTGGAGTTGTTGTTTTTAGTTGAGGGTTATGGAGCTGGAGATATAGGGTCATGCGTTGTTTTCTAGTTTGTGGTTTGCAGAGCTGGAGACTCCATGGAGGAGAGCCGGTTTTGTTGTTTCTAATTGAGGATCGTGGAGCTGGAGACTCGCAGAAGAGCCCATGTTGTGTTTGTAGTTGTGGTTTTGGAGCTGGAGACTCACGGAGGAACTGCAGTTGGTGTTTCTAGTTGATGTTTGTGGAGCTGGAGATACTGTGAGCATTGTTTTCTAGTTTGTGGGTCATGGAGCTGGAGACCCGTGGAGGGGCTGGAGTTGGTATTTCTAGCTGAAGGTCGTGGAAGCTGGGAGACCCATGGAGGAGCTGGAGTTGTTGTTTCTAATTGAGGGTCATCGAGGTGGGAGACGGCAGAGCAGCCTTGAAGCTTTTCTTGAGGGTCGTGAGCTGGAGATACATGGTGGAGCATTGTTTTCTAGTTTGTGGGTCCTGACCTGGAGGACCAAGGGAGGAGGTGTCGATGGTGTTTCTGACTGAGAGTCGTGGAGTTGGAGACATGGAGGGAGCCATTGTTGGTGTTTCTAGTTGATGATCGGTGGAGCTGATACCCGCAGAGGAGCCGTTGTTGGTGTTTCTCGTTGAGGGTTGTGGAGCTGAAGATACAGGGTGGAGCGTTGTTTCTGTGGGCCCAGGGTGTTCGAGCTGAGACCTGCAGAGGAGCCGGTGGTGTTTCGAGGATTGTGAGCTAGGAGATACAGGGTGGAGCGTTGTTTCTAGTTTGTGGGTCATGGAGCTGAGAGCTGCAGGAGCCGGTGGTGGTGTTTCTCATTGAGGATTGCGGAGCTAGACATACAGGGTGGAGCGTTGTTTTTTGATTTGTGGGTCGTGGAGCTGGAGACCTTTAGAGGAGCTGGAGTTGGTGTTTCTAGTTGAGGGTCGTGGAGCTGGAGACCCATGGAGGAGCCGGAGTTGTTAGTTTTAGTTGAGGGTCATCGAGGGAAACATGGCGGAATAGCCACTATGGGGGTCTTTGTTTGAGCGTCATGGAGCTGGAGATACACGGTGGAGCGTTGTTTTCTAGTTTGAGGGTCGGGAGCTGAGACCCATGGAGGAGCTGTCATGGTGTTTCTGGTTACGGGTTTGGAGTTGGAGACATGGAGAGCCATTGTTGGTGTTTCTCATTGAGGATCAGGGATGGAGACCCGTGAGGAGCCAGCAGTGTTGAGTTTCTAGCTGAGGATCGTGGAGCTGAGTCCTGGAGGGATCTGGTTAGTGTTTCTGCTGAGGGTCATGTGCTGAGGCCTATGGAGGAGAAGCTGTTGGTGTTTCTAGTTGGAATGTCATGGATGAGATCGGGCCAGGAGCCAGTGTTGGTGTTTGTAGTTGAGGGTCAAGTTGATGGAGACCCGGTAGGAGCCGTGTTGGTGTTTCTAGTTGAGGTTTGGGGAGTTGGAAAGACCGTGGAGGAGCCATTGTTGGTGTTTCTCGGTGACTGTTGTGGAGCTGGAGATATAGGGTGATGCGCTGTTTTCTTAGTTTGTGGTTTATGGAGCTGGAGACCCATAGAGGAGCCGGTTTTGTTGTTTCCACTGAGGATCGTGGAGCTGAGACCCGGGCGGAGGAGCCCATGTTGATGTTTGTAGTTGAGGGTTTTGGAGCTGAGACTCGCTGGAGGAACTGCAGTTGGTGTTTCTAGTTGATGTTTGTGGAGCTGAGATACAGGGTGGTTGTTTCAGTTTGTGGCTCATGGAGCTGGAGACCCGGAGGACACGTTGGTGTTTCTGGGTTGAGGGTTTAGAGTTGGAGACACGAGGAGGAGCGATTGTTGGCGTTCTAGTTGTGGATCGTGGAGCTGGAGACCCGCTGGAGAGCCATTGTTGGTGTTTCTTTGGAGGGTTGTGGAGCAGGAGATACAGTGGAGCAAGTTATTTTCTAGTTTGTGGGTCGTGGAGCTGGAGACCCGAGGAGGAGCCATTGTTGGTGTTCTCATGGAGGGTTGTGGAGCTGGAGATACAGGGTGGAGCATTGTTTCTAGTTTGTGGGTCATGGAGCTGGAGAGCGTGGTGGTGGATCCGGTGGTGGTGTTTCTCATTGAGGGCGGTGGAGCTAGAGATACAGGGTGGAGCGCTGTTTTCTGGTTTGTGGGTCGTGGAGCTGGAGACCTGTGGAGGAGCTGGAGTTTGTGTTTTTAGTTGAGGGTCGTGGAGCTGGAGATATAGGGTGATGCGTTGTTTTCCTTGTGGTTTATGGAGCTGAGAATCTGCTGGAGGAGCTGGGTTTTGTTGTTTGTAATTGAGGATTGTGGAGCTGAGACTCATGGAGGAGCCATGTTGGTGTTTGTAGTTGAGGGTTTTGGAGCTGGAGACTCACGGAGGAACTGCAGTTGGTGTTTCTAGTTGATGTTTGTGGAGCTGGAGATACAGGTTGGAGCACTGTTTTCTAGTTTGTGGGTCATGGAGCTGGAGACCCGTGGAGGAGCTGGAGTTGGTGTTTCTAGTTGAGGGCCCTGGAGCTGGAGACCTGCGGAGGAGCTCTAGTTGGTGTTTCTAGAGGGTCATTGAGGTGGAGACGGCTGAGCTACCGCTGTTGGTGTTTTTCTTTGAGGGTCGTGGAGCTGGAGATACAGGGTGGAGCGTTGTTTAGTTTGTGGGTCACGGACGGAGACCTGTGGAGGAGCCTTCGTAGATGGTGTTTGGTTGAAGGTCGGGAGATGGATAAGGCTGGAGGAGCCATTGTTGGTGTTTCTAGTTGATTATCGTGGAGCTGGATACCCGCGGAGGAGCCGTTGTTGGTGTTTCTCGTTGAGGGTTGTGGAGCTGACGACAGGGTGGAGTGTTGTTTTCAGTTTGTGTTCGAGCTGGAGAGACTCTACAGAGGAGCCGGTGGTGGTGTTTCGTTGAGTATCAGGAGCGAGATACAGGGCAGGAGCGTTATTTTCTAGTTTGTGAGTCGTGGAGATGGAGACCCGCTTAGGAGCCGATGGTGCTCTTCGCTGGAGGATTGTGGAGCTAGAGACAGGGTGGAGCGTTGTTTTCTGATTTGTGGGTCGGAGCTGGAGACTCAGGAGGAGCTAGTTGGTGTGTTTCTAGTTGAGGGTCGTGGAGCTGGAGACCCATGGAGGAGCCGGAGTTGGTGTTTCTAGTTGAGGGTCATCGAGGTGACGATGTCGGAATGGCCGCTCCTGGTGTCTTTGTTTGAGGGTCGTGGAGCAGGAGATACAGGGTGGAGCGTTGTTTTCAGTTTGTGGGTCGTGCAGCTGGAGACCCTGGAGGAGCCTCTCTGGTGTTTCTGGTTGAGGGCTTGGATTTGGAGACACACGCAGGAGCCATTATGGTGTTTCCAGTTGAGGATCGGGAGCTGAGGCCCAAGGAGGAGCCGTCGTTGGTGTTTCTGTAGGGTTGTGGAGCTGAGACAGGGTGGAGCATTGTTTTCAGTTTGTGGTCATGGAGCTGAGACCATGGAGGAGCTGGAGTTGTTGTTTTTAGTTGAGGGTTATGGAGCTGGAGATACAGGGTCATGCGTTGTTTTCAGTTTGTGGTTTGCAGAGCTGGAGACCTCGGAGGAGCCGGGGTTTTGTTGTTTCTAATTGAGGATCGGGAGCTGGAGACCTGTGGAAGAGCCCATGTTATGTTTGTAGTTGAAGGTTTTTGAGCTGAAGAGTCATGGAGGAACTGCAGTTGGTGTTTCTAGTTGATGTTTGTGGAGCTGAGATACTGGTGAGCGTTGTTTTCAGTTTGTGGGTCCTGGAGCTGAGACCCGTGGAGGAGCTGGAGTTGGTGTTTCTCGAAGTTGAGGGTCGTGAAGCTGAGACCCATGGAGGAGCTGGAGCTGTTGCTCTAACTGGTCATCGAGGTGGAGACGGCAGAGCAGCCGCTCTTGGTGTTTTGAGGGTCGTGGGAGCTGGAGATACATGGTGGAGCATTGTTTTCTAGTTTGTGGGTCATGGACCTGAGACCCGTGGGAGGAGGTGTCGATGGTGTTTCTGACTGAGAGTCGTGGAGTTGGAGACATGCGGAGGAGCCATTGTTGGTGTTTCTAGTTGATGATCGTGGAGCTGGATACCCGCAGAGGAGCCGTTGTTGGTGTTTCTCGTTGAGGGTTGTGGAGCTGAAGATACAGGGTGGAGCGTTGTTTTCTAGTTTGTGGGTGGTCTAGCTGAGACCTGCAGAGGAGCCGGTGGTGGTGTTTCTCTTGAGGATTGTGAGCTGAGATACAGGGTGGAGCGTTGTTTCTCAGTTTGTGTGTCAGGGAGATGGAGATCTGTGGTAGGAGCCGGTGGTGGTGTTTCCTCGCTGAGGACTGTGGACAGACACGGCTGCGGTGGAGCGCTATTTGACTTGTAAATGGGATGACATCCTTTGTTATTTGTTTCAAAGGAGCCGGTGCTCCAGTCGGCGGTCGGGAGCTGGAGACCCATGGAGGAGCCGAGTTGCGAGCTGAAGAGGCCATTGAAAACTCGGCGGCGGAATAGCCGGGCTGGCGGGGTCTTTGTTTGAGCGCTGCGGGAGCTGGAGATACCGGAGCGTTGAGCTTTAGTTTGAGGGTCAGGAGCTGGAGCATCCATGGAGGAGCTGCTGTCGTTGGTGTTTCTGGTTACGGGTTTGGAGTTGGAGACACACGGAGGAGCCATTGTTGGTGTTTCTCATTGAGATCAAAGGAGCTGGAGACCCGTGGGAGGAGCCAGTGTTGGAGTTTCTAGTTGAGGATCGGAGCTGGAGTCCCGTGAGGATCTGGTGTTAGTGTTTCTGCTGAGGGTCATGTGCTGGAGGCTCATGGAGGAGAAGCTGTTATGTTTCTAGTTGAATGTCATGGAGTTGGAGACCACAGAGTCTTTGGTGTTGGTGTTTGTAGTTGAGGGTCGTGTTGATGGAGACCCGGGTAGGAGCCGGTGTTGGTGTTTCTAGTTGAGGTTTGGGGAGTTGGAGACCCGGTGATATTTACATTGTTGGTGTTTCTCGGTGACTGTTGTTGGAGCTGGAGATACAGGGTGGAGCATTGTTTTCTAGTTTGTGGGTCATGGAGCTGGAGAGCCGTGTAGGATCCGGTGGTGGTGTTTCTCATTGAGGGCGGTGGAGCTAGAGATACAGGGTGGAGCGCTGTTTTCTGGTTTGTGGGTCGTGGAGCTGGAGACCTGTGGAGGAGCTGGAGTTTGTGTTTTTAGTTGAGGGTCGTGGAGCTGGAGATATAGGGTGATGCGTTGTTTTCTCCTTTGTGGTTTGCGGAGCTGGAGACCCGCGGAGGAGCCGGTTTTGTTGTTTGTAATTGAGGATTGTGGAGCTGGAGACCTGCGGAGGAGCCCATGTTGGTGTTTGTAGTTGAGGGTTTTGGAGCTGGAGACTCACGGAGGAACTGCAGTTGGTGTTTCTAGTTGATGTTTGTGGAGCTGGAGATACAGGTTGGAGCACTGTTTTCTAGTTTGTGGGTCATGGAGCTGGAGACCCGTGGAGGAGCTG